GTTTTGCCACAATAGTTTCTCAGATCAATACCCGATTGCCACAATGTTGCTCGTATTATAACATTTGTGTTGGTTTTTTCTTGAACAAAGATGTGTTGTGGTCCGAGTCGTTGAGTCAGATTTCAATGTGCTTTTTGTGTGTTTACTTTGTGTTTCGCTGTAGCTGTTAGAGCTCTTTTTTGCGTCTTTCTTTACCATTTTTTGTTCTTGTCTTGTAATTTTTTTATTGAGCCTTTTCTTCACAATTCAAACAGATTGTTACATTAATAGACGTCCCCCAGACCATTTCTGAAATTATTTTTAATTATTGCTATTAACTTGCAGCATTGATGTTAGGTTTATTTGTATATACTGTACATGTATCTCTAAATCACATCAGGATCAGATCAGAAAACCAAACGGTTTAGGCAAGGCAAGGTAAGTTTAATTGTATAGCACAATTCATACACAAGGCAATTCAAAGTGCTGAACAAAACAAGAAAGCATTAAAATCATAAATAATCACAGTACATTAAAAAGAAAGATAAAAATATAAAATCCCTCAGTTGTATGAACAGCTAAACAGAACTGTTTAAACACAAAACATGTATTATATTTTATGATAACAAACACGTAGGAGCCATTTGTCCGGGATAACCACTGTCCAGACCTGTTAATACATGTCCATAAATATCATCATCACTGTTCTTAGAACCTTTTGCATCAGTGAGGAGCCACTCAGAAACCCAGTCTGAACAAGTGAGAAACTTCAGGGAGACCCTTTTATGAGAGACAGACAGGCTGTGGAACCAGGACTGACTTTAAAGCTTTCCTCAACCATTTGGTGGATCACAATATCTACCTTTTTGGAGCATCTCACTTGGTTTAGGCACATTTACCATCAAATTATAAATCAACCATTTAGCAAAGGCCTATTTATTTTATTTTTTTACCAAAATAAAACTTAAAAACTATTTGTGTTGTGAGTGCTCCTACATGATAGAAAATATGAAGTAAAAAATGTTTACAATGCTTTCTTCAAGGAGGATTAAAGGGTTAAAGCTATTTAGCTACAACCATATAATGTATTATATATTATGAACATTAAAGCCAACACATAATTATTAACTGTAAAAATATAAATCATTATCTTCCAGAGATAGAAGAGACCAGATAGAGAGACCAGAAAGCGGGACCAGAGAGAGAAACTAGAGAGACACCAGAGAGAGTAGTTTTCTGCCTTTTTAAAAGTGACTTATTGCCCATAAATTAATGTTGATAATTTCTCAGGTCGGGCGACAGTAGCTCAGTTGGTAGAGCATTGGCCTTCAGGCCAGAAGGTTGTGGGTTCAATTCCCACAACCGACTCCCACTGATGACTGCTGTCGTTGTGTCCTTGGGCAAGACACTTAACCCCACTTTGCCCAAAGCCCCCACTGAAAGATCAAGGCTATGCTCACACTCAGAGAGCAGCCGTCCTCCTGTGGACTCACCACCTGCAGAGGGTCAGTGAGGGGCTGGTGCTATGAGACTTGGGTGGCATCTCTGACTGCCACCCCCCTGACCCAGAAATGGATTAAAGGGAAGAAAATGGATGAAATTTCTCAGGTGAAATAACATTCTTTACAATCACATAACTGTGGTGTCCCAGTAATTTTTTATTTCGGGGGAAAAAACTAAACAAATTCTACACCTCCCTCCGGAGGTATTATAGGCAGTTACAGACAGGAGAGATAGCGTTTTTAGCCCTTATCACTTGTTTAACCAGATACTTTCTACTTTAGATATGTTTTCACATTCTAAAATATGAAATGAAAGTAAATAGTCTCATCATTATTTGTAATAGCCAATAATAATGCATAATATTTCTTCTTTGAGCAGACAACCACTAACCCCGGGCGAACCGGTTCAAACACTCCCAAACTAGACATACCCAGACCTTCCCGTCTATCTCCCGTCCTTCTCTTTTTGTCCTTGTGGTGTTGCCGTAGTTGCGTCTGTAGTGGGTGTGTCGTCCGTCCTCCGTCCGTCCGTCCTGTCCGTGTGTGTGTGTCTGTGTGCTGATGGAAGCACTGATGTGACCCCAATGCTTTATCTATCTCTGTAGCTCCAGTGTAGGTTGGAGGGCCTTAAAGATGACCGCAGGAGGACCTTCAGCTCTCGAGTAACTATCCCCGCCCACCTCCCCCTTCCCCTCCTCACCCACCACCTCACGGAGCGCGAATCAAACGCCCCCTGTGCCCACCTCACTCTATGTGTGCCACTATGTCCTTTCCTTTTCCTCTCCCTCTCTCTTGGAAAATGCCGCTGCAAAGATTGAAATCTACAAGAGTTTAAATGGCTTCAATTGGGAGTAATTTAGACAGGCACTGACAGGAGGTACAAGTTAGGCAAGGCAAGTTTTTTTTTTTATAGCGCAGTTCATACACCAGGGAACTGAAAGTGTTAACAAAACTAGAAAAGAAACATTTTAATTACACATGGCATTCATATAATAAATACAAAAACAAATACATAAACAATATATTTGCAAGAGTGATGAAACAATCCTTCAGTTTTTGCAGCCAAAGTCTGAAACTCCTTCAGAGTCCCAGCAGGAGGCCAGTCCCTGTGCTACTGAGGGTCCAAGTTGGTTCGTATGGCACTAACACAGATGTATTTTGGTGCGAGGCTATGGAGAGACCTGTCCACAAGCAGAGCTGCTTTAAAGTACCGGTGTAGTCTTTGAGCGACAGGAAGGCAGTGCAGAGACCTGAGAACAGGACTAATGTGATGGTACTTCCTGGTTCTATAGGACTCAAGCTGCAGAATTTATTTATTTATTATAACACTTTTAAAATATGTTCCCTATTCTCTAAATTGCATGCACTATAAGAGAGTATTTCCATAAAGTGAACGTCAGTAACTTTGAGAGAGAGAGAATCCTTTAGTCCCCCCCTGCTGCTTAATGAGGACCAAATTAATACAAATCCTTGATTGACTGGCGAGGCCCCTCTTTATGGGTTTAACTATTCTGCTCCAGAAGATGTTATTGGAGGTGGTTATGCCAAGGGGATCAATATTATTTTGAATAGCACCCGTCCAAATACATGCATTACTAATACAAGTTGGAGTTTCCCTGTGCTCTTAAATGCATCACTGCCTGATGTCTCATTATATAGATGTGTTTACATGCAGCTCATCCGCAGTAGAACCACCACCACAACGTACATGTGTCTTTATCAATCGTATTCAATTGGAACAGGAGGAGGACGCATTCAATGATGGGCTAGTATGATAAGTATGGTTTATCTTAAGGGGGTTCACATTAAAGCTGGGGTTTTCACATAATGTATCTTTAGGCATTGGTCAGACCTTTAAATCAAAATTTTCAGACAGAAAAGTGAAACCACCCTCGATCAGCCAATCAGCTCTCAGCCCAAAATGTCAGATAAAGACTCAAATGCAAAAGATACATGTTTTATGACGGATGGATGAAAACTAAACAATGAGGTCAGATTTGTAAAGCGTTACATTTACCATATTTATTTCCATCTTTAAAACTACAGGTGAAACTCAAAAAATTTGAATATTAAGATTAAGATTAGGAAATCCTTTATCCTTGCCCTAACCCTTCGGCCTTTATTGGGGAAATTCGATACAATGTGAAACTATTACATGACGGACTCATTTCAGCAGAGACACAAAGCCTTTATTACAGCAGAAACCCCAAATAAAAAACATCTTAGAATATTAGAATATTTTGAAAGTGGACTGTAGGTCATAATCAAAAACTTTATTGAAAACAAAGGTACATACAGTATGACTCGTTCTTAGTCTCTGTGATAGACTGAATAGGAGTGGACTGACTGGGTGTGACATCACCATAGTGTAAGCCTTAATGTGGAAGAAGCAATTTTGAATATAAGCTGGCACAGGCCAAATTCCTTATTTGGGCATTTCTTCTGATGTTTCAAGCTTCCTACCATATCAGGGGCAGACTTGTTGCTAAGACAGTTGCTAAGGAAAGCTATAGTTTCCGCTGTGAATGAAGGCATCTGATTCAATCACTCATATCTGGATTTATAAAGACAATATTACAATATATAGCCCAAAATGGTGAGTGTGACACAAACAGTTATTGAGGTAGAGGAGTTTACTTTTACATGTAAGTTAATAGGAGCCAGAATGAGTTAGAGCAAAACTTTGTGCACGAGCACTTCACTATTGGGCCTAATTGAACTAGCGGGTTAGCATGGTTCATCTATACACAGACTATGTTCATGTATCGGTTTCACATTTTAAGTTGAAATACAGGAATAAATTCACTTTCGAATAACATTACGGTATTATCATTTTATGTGTACAATATCTACTCAAAAAAAATCTAAATCAAGGCAAAGTCAAACACAATTGTCCCGATCCTGAATTGAAGTCATGTTAACTCTTTTGTATGTCCTCATGCACAGCATCTTAGTCTTTCTCCTCTTGTCCCCGTCTTGTCCTCCACGATTTTGTCTTTCTCTCTCTTCTGCACTATTTTGACAATCCGTTCGATGTCTTTTTGTGCATCTGTGTGTTTTTTGGTTCACTTTTGTTGTTGTTGAGGGTTACTTTGCTTCAGTAGCCGCTGTACGTCTGCTCTGGTGATGTGTTCAGACTTCTGTAGTTTAGTGCAGTCCAGTCCCTTTTTGTTGAATTTTATGTTTATTTTTTGGTCTTTTCAACCACGTCACGCAATCCGCCGCGTCACCCGCCATCACCCACCTCCACCTTTGCCCTGGGAGAGTCACCCAAACACAGCACTGGTTAGAACATGACTGAGTTTCCCAAAAAAAAGCATTTATGTTTTAGATAGCACTTAAGTGCATGACATCAAACACACAGTCTCCAAACGACTGCACAGAAACCATTGTAGTAACATTAAAAATTATAGAAATTGTCATCCACAAGGCCCTGTCCCCTGGGTTTAAGACCACAGTGAAGGGCCTGTGAGAGACCCGAGAGAGGGACCAGAGACAGAGACCAGAGCGAGACCAGAGCGAAACCTGAGCGTGACCAGAGAGAGACCAAAGTCTCCTTATCTAATGCTAAACTATTAAAGTTACAATAGATTTTTGAAAATAGATTTAAAAACATGGGAGAAGTCAGAATGATACAGATATTGTATTGATTTTTAAAATAGATATATTATGATATTTTAATAAGATAAAGTTTGATCTTATCGTATCTTACTTTAAGACAGAGCGGTCAAACTGGTTTCAAAGGAACCACATTTTCCAACTATTTTTAATGAAAAAACTGTTTTCATTATTTATGTCATGTTAAACTAGCAGTGTCAGTATTCTCAGGGGACTTGCACTATGTCCCTATGTCCTCAAATGATGCTCTTTGTGAAACTCAGTCCGGCCGTAGAGTAGTCCACTTTAGTCTCACTGGGCCATTGTCTCATCACCACATGTTCAGACCTGGAAATACATGGATTTATCAACACATGTGTATGATGTCATCTGATTGCCCTGTGTGTGCATGTGCTGTTGTTGTTGGGAAATGTAAGTGTCTGACAGTACATATCATGATCATAATCAAGGATGAGAGTCTCTCTGGTCTCTCTCTCTCTTGTCTCTCTCTCTTTCCCTCTTCCAGGTCTCTTTGGTGTCAGTTTGTTCTCTCTCCCTGGGTCTCTCCTCTCTCTCTCTGGTCTCTGTTTTTTCTCTGGTCTCTTCTCAGGTCTCTCTTCTGCCAATCTTTCTCTGGTCTTTCTCTCTGGTCTATCTCAGGTCTTTCTCTAATATCTCTGACCCAGAGACTACGACCTTTCCAAAATTCTGGGAGTTGAGAATCCCATTTTAGCCAGTAAGATCGAAGTCCACAGCTTGTACTGTAGATTAATTTGTAAAGTGGTCACACTTGGAATAATCCTCTTGCAACATGTCAGATATGAACCAGTCACTATGGTTACATGCAGTCCATATGTGCACCCTGGACGTATTATAAGCCCTGTTTCCACCAGGCCTTCTCCACTCTAATCTACTCTGCTTGGCTCTACTCTGCTTTATTCTACTTGGCTCTACTCTACCCCAATTGGCCCTGGTTCAAACTGGCAAAGATTGTGCTGCTGGAAGCCATTATTACCAGTGAATTTCCATGGATACTGTATTATTTTGGATAGGTGGCTAGGATATTGTATCAGATACTAAGTGTAATACAAATACAACCAGATAGTGTAGATCCACGTAGAGTAGAGTAGAGTCGAGCCAAGTAGGGATAGTGGAAACAGGGCTATAGAAGAGCCAGAGAATAGATTAAGGTTTCTACAGCTGGACTCATAAACAGACTTTGCTCGTCCTCTATGTGTCGTATGTGACGTGTTGCATGTTTGAAGAATCACTCTGGTCCGTGTTCTGTCCCCTCCTCTCCCTCTGCACAGGTCCAGTCCCGCTGCAGCAGCAAAGAGAACATTCTCAGAGCAAGTGAGTAAAGTATTTAAATTTATATGGAAACTTTGTGGATGATGACAATATCCCTGCCATAGTTTAGAGAAGACATGTTACAGTGACATAGTAACAGACAACTGTGAGGTGAAGGAAAAAACATAAATGAATGGATGAGTGGGTTTTTGTATTCATACACCAGGAGATGTGGAATTTCCAGCTCCTTTTCTTCCAATAACGTCCTGTATTTTGCTTCATCCTCCTTCCCATCACTCTTTACTGTCCCTCCTGAAGAAAGGCATGATTCCTTTGTGGAGTGGAGTTCTTTCTGAGTTTGCATGTTCTCCACATTCATCCAGGTGCTACCATACCACTAAAAAATTTTTACAATAGGTCCCTTCTCTGCACCATGTGCACTTGTATATTGTAAATAGTAACTGTAACTCTATTTTAAATTTAAATGTATTCTTTAGAAGTGTTTTTTATTCTTATTTTTATTATCTCTTTCTGACTGTTGCACTGAGCCAAAGCAATTTCCAAGTCTGTGACCTCCTGTTACTTACGTGGCAATAAAAATGATTCTGATTCTGATTCTGACTCTTTGGAGTCAGGACACCCCTGAAAAAGAGATTTTGGACTATCAGTTGAACTTTCCTGGTTTTTTTATCGAGTTAGTTACAGCTTAAAAATTAATTACTCCTAATTAAACGCATTTCGAACTATCGGCTAAATTATGCATATGTTTCTGTAAATGGTTGTTTGAATAAAAAGATAAATTACAACATAGTGTAATAGTGTACATATGCACTGTATTTGTTTAAATGGATTTAACAATAAATCCATATAAAATGGCATTAACATTAATAACAATCTGTCTTTCTGTAGGGACTCAGACCAAAACTATTGTTTGTTACAGATGAGGGACATTTCAAAACAGTCTGAAATGCAGAATGTCATTAGATCTGATTTGCTCACAACATTTTACTTTTGGGCACAACCAACGTGAACTGCATAGTGCAAGGGAAAATTACGGTACCCCATCTTTAATTTAGCGAGTTTAGTTGTGGGGGAGAGACACAGGAAGACACTTCCTGAGGCTGGTGTGGTCTTGGATCCTGTTACGGCGGCATCGTTCACCGTGGCCACGGAGGATGCGGACTCCCGTTCGAGTTCATAGCAAACAACAGAAAGAGCCCCGCTGTCATGCGCCTATTCTTTTTTAAATTGAATTCCCAGAGGGCCTACCCGCTCTGTCGCCATCTCATACACGCATGTGTCCGCGGCATTCTGAGTGATATTATGAGATGCATGGGCGGGTCATTCGGCACATGCGTCAAAATTTGTTAATTTTTAACGGGATTAATGAAAAAAAAATGTTTACGCAATAATTTTGACAGGCCTAAAAAATACTTTTTTGGCCTAAAATGTATAAACATATAACCACCAAACTCCTGGAAACGTTCTCTCTCCAATATGTTGAAAAAGAGATTTAACATGTATTCTCCTAGGGCTGTTTGCCTCAGTACAGACCCATTTTCAGTGACATTTACCTCAACAAGGGGTTGTTCTACAGTCAAATACATTCTATCCCCAAACACCAGCTGTGCTCTCCTTTATATATGTGGTGACTTCTGCAGGTGAACGCCATATTCCATCAGACCGCTGAAGCTAAGCAGGGCAAGGCCTGGTTAGCACGTTAGGGGAGACCTCTGGGAACACCAGGTGCCATAGTGGGGTGGATGAGGCGTTTCAACTCTTCACCGCTTTCATATATGTACTTTTTACTTTAATTAAACCACACAAATTACAACTCTGTTTCTATGGATCATCAACCTTTCCACAATTTTGTATTAGCAGTAGCACTAGCAGTAGTAGCAGTGGAACCAGCAGTAGTAGTAGTAGTAGTATTATCAGTTGTTGTAGTAGTAGAAGTAGTAATCGTTGTAGCATCAGTATTAGCAGTAGCAGCAGCAGAAGTAGTAGTAGAAGTAGCAGTACAGTCTAAGCTTCATTTGCCCCTGTTACAGCGCAAAGCTAATGTCGTCTGAACAAATGCTCATAAGAGGCTAGTTTATGTTTAATTCGGCTTCTTCAACATTATGGCTAACAATAAGGTGATGTCACACTCTGTCAGTCAACTCCCAATATACGCTCTATGGGTCAAAGACACAAATGAAGAATGAGTGGTGTTTTTTTCCCCTTTATTTTGAAATATAGATTACAAACAAACTCATCTCCGACAAGCACAAGAGAACTGCTCCTGGGCAAAAGAAAGAGTTAAGGTTTTGTTAGATGAGAAACGGCTGACTAAACGTTCCACTGTATAACTAATGTCCGACAGGCATCAGGACCAGAGGAATAGAATTTAAACCTCTACTATTGACAATTGGATTGAACAGTGGCAGAATGTTCTCAGTGAAACAACAGTCGGTGAGAGAGTAAATAAGAGACTGTTTATCCACATCGTAGAAGGAGACCAGACCTTCCTCATAATCTACAAACACTCCCACTCTCTCTGGAAGCGACTGCACTGGGAAAACTACACTAGGGACCTCTGATGTTCTGTATTGACCATCACTGCTCATGGAGAGGTACCAGTATCCAGTCCGAACAGTTCGATTACTTGTCTTTCTGTCCACTGACTTGTTGGCCACTCCTAAAGTCCAGCCTGTCTTTTCTTTGACCTGAACTTCAAAATAAAACTTTCCCGATGAGAACTTCTGTTTCCCTAAAACATAAAAACCTGGCCTAAATCTCTCGGGGTTGTCTGGGATATGGTTGTTATGGGCACAGACATAAACCTGTTTGAGATCTTCAGACAGAACTAAGTATGTATGTGCCGTCTTTGGATCTAGAGACACCTCCACTCCAAACCCTTGTACTGTTTCAAATTCTTCTCTGAAAACCGTATCTATCTCTGTGTTAAGTCTTCTCCCCAGCACAGACACTGCCTGACTAGCTTTCCCCTTGTACAATGGGACCCTCACGGTCTTCTGCGTCCAGTCGTTGAGCCATGGAGCAGGCTTGACTGTAGTGAAGGTTTGGACAAAGTGCAGGTGGTCTCCAGAGCTCCACAGCTGCTCCATCTCCGCTCCTCTCTGCTCCAGCTCAGAGATCTCTGACTGGATCTGCTCTATCAGCTGAGCTGCCTCCTCCTCGCTCTTCTTGTGCTTCTCTTCTATGCTCTGTTTGAAGCTGGCTGCACTCTGTTGAACATACTCCATCAAAGTATTGAAGACTCTGAGACCTTCTTGTATTTCTGTCTCTGCGTTTCTCTGACTCTGCTTCACTAATCGCTGGATCTCCTGGACTTTCACTAGTCTGTCTTTGATCTGTTGCTTCAGTGTGGCCTGCTGCACCTCTCCCTGCTCCTTCAGAGGGACTGTCTGATGATCTCTATGCTCTTCAGACGTGCATTTCAGACAAACCAACAGTGAGTGGTCCCTACAGAAGAGCTCCAGGAGCTGCCCGTGCTCAAGGCAGATGCGCTCCTCCAGGTTGGTCAGAGGTTGGATCAGCTGGTGCCTCTTCAGATGGGGGTTTGTGAGGTGTGGCTGCAGGTGGCTCTCACAGTACGACAGCAGACACACCAGGCAGGAATTCAGAGCTCTGAGCCTGGGCTCTGGACAGAGGTCACAGACCACCTCTCCTGGAGCAGTGGACTGAGGCTCAATCACCAGGGGTTCTCCTTGAGGTTTACTCCTGAACATTGAGACCATCTCTGACATAAAGGTGTTGACCTTCAGCTGTGGTTTTGGGCTAAAGTCCTGTTTACAGAGTGGACAGCTGCAGTGGACACTGGTGTCCCAGTGTTTGTCGATGCAGATGCAGCAGAAGCTGTGTCCACATGGTGTTGTGACTGGATCAGTGAAGACCTCCAGACAGATGGAGCAGAGAAACTGCTGCTCACTGAGAGAAGAGCTTACAGCCGCCATCGCTGCAAGACACATGAGAACAACTGGTTTAGAGTCAATCAGAATTCTCTCAGTGTTTAAAAAAGCTTTCCTTATTGGTAGTGATGGGCAAACAGTACGATGCTATGGAGCTTGTGTTGCTCTACCTGAAGCAGACTGCTTTGAGACTCTGCAGCCGCTGCTTTGCTTTGTGTATCAACTGTGTCACAAAGCATTTCATTGGCTCAATTAGTTTCTCGGCTTTGCATTTGTTCAGAGCGTTTCGACACGCTTCCTTAAGCCTGGTTCACACGGCAGGATAATTAGGCCAATTTTGGATCCGATTTACCCCTACGACAATCGTAAGAACGCTCCGAATATCGTAACAAAAAATCTAATGGATTTTCCTGCCGTGTGTGGTGTGTTAAGACTGCGCTCGTCGCTCGGAAGGACTTCGGGACTGCTCCGATCTCAAATCGGGGATATCCAACATGTTGGATTGTTTTGGCCTGATTTCTCTTTGTGTGTGGTGTCCCCCGGGGACACACGAGCGCGTTGCCATGACTGCGGCGTGTAGCCAATCAGAAGACGAGACGAGCCGGTGAGGAAACGGCGTAAAAAAACCAAACCAGTCAGCGGCATGGCGCACCAGAAAGTTCAGTGGACATCAGAGATGGAGGAACAACTAGTTGATCTAAGGCAACACCATGAATGTATGTGACGTGTCGTGTAAAGAACATCATCACCGAAATGACAAGGAGAGGAATTGGGCAGAAATTGCTGCTGCACAGGTAGTGTTGGCATAAGCCCTATTCGGACGGGATTAGTACACTAAATGATCACTGATGGGTTGTGTTTGTACGTTTACTTTGCACTCTGTCCTAATACAGTACAGACATGTTGATGCAGCCGTTACTGCAGCCGTGCTTGTTGGTTTGCGCGTATGTTAAGTTTCATGTCTAGCAGTGTGTGTGGTGCATTCACAGGTAGTCCGTACAAACTGTATTGTTGAACAGCACAGACAGTACGGGCCAGAGAACTGTAGAGCAGTAAAATCCACATGTATGTGTTTGTCCTCATGGTGTCTGTGGCTGCTGTGGTCAGACGAGAGTCTCTATAGGCTGCGTGAAGCGGAGAGGCCCGCACACTCTGTTTACTCTGCTTGATCTCGAGAGATGTTGTGAGATTTCCGTCTGACTGAATGCTCGGGGGTGAAATCGGTTCTTGTGTGATGTGTGTGGTTTGCGTGATTTTGCCGTGTGGCTGCACATCACACACTGTACGACCAAAGTGGTTAGAACCGTGATTTTTTATCTCCGTGTGTGTCTCACACGGAGAAAATATCGTCCGACAAATTTAAAATCATCTCGTGTGAACCAGGCTTTAGTTTGACAAATTTCTGTGGAGAAGCGTGGCATAAAGGATGCATCAATATTTGTAAACACTGTTTTTTAGTGAGGAGACAGTGTTTCATTTTGATCTTATTAAACCAAACGGGTTATCGTCACATTTTCTAAAGAGTCAAAAAGCTGTATATACCTATATTCTGCTGCAGTAGGATGACTCTCTTGTGATAGTTATGTGAGAAGATCAAACCGTATGAATTTGAAACCACTGTGAATCAACTACAGATATTCAGAAGCTGATTATATTTGTCCACAAGCGTTAAAAAATAGAATGGAAACATTTGAAACAGTCTGGCAGGGAAAGCCTCGGTGTGTTAGGGGGCTTCATCCGCCCACTACTGATTGGCTCTTTGGTTGCTAAGTTGTTGCTTCTCACAAATTTGGCAACAGATTCCTGCCAATATGCTATAGTCCTCATGGAGCCTGTGTGAGTAAGCTCTAATCAGCTTCTTCAGAGAAACACTATGGGTGACTTCAGTACTCGTTGGTCCAGTCCTTCTTCAGTCTATTAGTTGTGGTTGTGATTCAGATTTTATTAATAATGACAAAGACATTTCTCTCCTGGTCTCTCTTGTGTACATATTCACATATGTATATTCATGAGCACCTACATCCAGATTATTATATATTCTCACAAATAAGATCTTATTATTATTCTTACTTTCAGATTGTTATTTTAATGTTATTTTTATTGTGAAATACTATGCAAGCTACTGTGACAATGCAATTTCCCTTGTGGATCAATAAAGTCTGTCTAAGTCTAAGATGGAAAAAGGAAATCATACAGAGATACACTTCAAAATAACTAAATCAAAGTGATCTTGTGTCTTTGGTTTCTCTCTGGTCTCTTTCTGTTCTCTCTCTTGTCTCTCTCTGGTCTCTCTCTGGTCTCTCTCTGGTCTCTTTCTGTTCTCTCTCTTGTCTCTCTCTTGTCTCTCTCTGGTCTCTCTCTGGTCTCTCTCTGGTCTCTTTCTGTTCTCTCTCTTGTCTCTCTCTGGTCTCTCTCTGGTCTCTCTCTGGTCTCTCTCTCTGGTCTATCTCTCTGGTCTCTCTCTGGTCTCTCTCTGGTCTCTGGTCTCTCTAAGGCAGGGGTGTCATTCACACGGCCCGCGGGCCGGAACCGGCCCGCCAAGAGATTTGACCCGGCCCGCGGCTCATTTATGTAAAATGATGATAATAATATTTTTTTTTTAAATCCGCGCCGCAACGCCGCGCTCAGCAGCGAGTCCAGTGCGTCTGTAGTGGCTCCTCCAGAGCGGTGCTGAAGGAATATCATCTTAAAGTACGAAACTTTTCATCGAAAAATACAGCACTTTGAGCGGAGAATTGAGAAGACAGAAGATAAACATGTCTGGCCCTGAAGACACAGCAGTCTGTTTGTGCCCAGAGCAAGAGGTTAGTGATGCTGCTGTAAGGACAAGCTACCTGTGCTAACAGTGCAAAAAAACATAGCATTTGCCTCACAGCCGCACAGTGAGAGAGTTTGTTAAAACTTTCATACAAGCTGTAGACATGGTCTGAGAAACCACTCGCTTTTACCAACATGTTGCTATTGATGAGAGACTGATGTTACTGATGTCGCATATTCATTTGTGGTGTTACTGAAACTATCACAGATGAGATTTGAGCACTGCTGCTGGGGCTGCTGCTGGTCCTGTTGTTGCTGGTGCGTTTGACAGAGAGACTGGTCCTGCGCTCTCAGTCTGGTACCGACAGTAAAGGCAGGTGTTATGATAAAGCCGCAAATGGAGGTGATAATTTTTGCACATTTGACAGTATTTTACACAGAGACACTGCTGCAGTCGTTAAGAATAGATCACGTTATGGAAGTTGTTTTGTTCATTTCAACTGAAACATGGTCAGTTTGATGCTTTCTCTGTGATAATAACATAACCATGGACCTTACCACACTGAAGATGGATAAGCTGAGGTGCTGTGTTAAAGTGCTTTTTTCTTTCTACCTACTTTACCTTTTGTGAGCAAGTTTACAAATATTAATATAAATATTGTGAAATGCCATTTACAATGTAATATTCTTACATTATTACATTATTTGCACTATGAAAAACTCAGTTACATTTAAGTTTGTAACAGATTTACAGTTAAAACTGAGCGAGTATTAAAGGACAGTGTTTTAAAGGAAGATTTAAATAAATGTGTTTATGTGAACAAAAAGTTGGACTTTGTACCGTTTTTGGGTATTTTTGTAGAGCATCTTCTTGTCCGGCCCATTTGAGATTCAATTAGGTTGTATTTGACACCCCTGCTCTAAGGTCTCTCTCTGGACTCTTTCTGGTCTCTCTCTGGTTTCACTCTGGTTTCACTCTACTCGCTCTTGTCTCTCTCTGGTTTCACTCTGGTCTCACTCTGGTCTCTCTCCAGCGAGGCGCTGGAAAAATGGCCCCGTGGCTGGTGTGTACTCTGGTGCATACTGGGGTATTTAGTTTTTAAAATGTGATTTTACTGCAAATGGCAAATTAATACTTGAATCTTGAATCTCTCGTTAGTCTTGCTTTGGTCTCTCTCTGCTCTCTCTCTCTGCTCTCTCTCTGCTCTCTCTCTCTCTGCTCTCTCTCTCTGCTCTCTCTCTGCTCTCTCTCTGCTCTCTCTCTGCTCTCTCTCTCTCTGCTCTCTCTCTCTGCTCTCTCTCTGGTCTCTCTTTAGTTTTGTTTCTGCTGTTGTCAGGACAGAGGCCGTTCCCTGTTCTTTATTGTGTTAATTATGATTTTGATTTTAAACACGGCAGTATCTTCATATGCACAGTACCAGAGGCCTGGGAGCTTGAGGGTTCTGTGCAGTATCTTTGCTGTTCCTAGCACTGCACATTTCTGGACGAGATGTCCAAGGTTGTTCCAGGGATCTGCTGTAACCACTCTTCCTATATATATATACAGTATGTGTGTATATATATATATATATATATATATATATATATATATATATATATATATATATATACATTTAAGTCTGTATATACTAAGACTTAGAAGTATGAACACTCTCTAAAAATATAAAAAAATTCTAAACATGATATAAAAAGCAAAACATTAAAAATTTTGAAGATTGTAAAAAGGCCCATTATGAATTAAGTACAGTAAATAAATAGGAAAAAAGTACTACTTTATATAAATTTCAAAAAACATACATACACCAAAAGTAAGACGAAGAGCCCAAGAGACGAAAAAACTCACAGAATGAGGTATAACACTTGAAAATGTACATTTATAAAGCCGTTATACAATTTCTAGTTATTATTCACTATAGAAAGTGTAGGGGAACTCTGGAGTTGGATTTGTCTCTGTGCAGAGATTGTTCCCACTTATGATGATAGTAAATTAATCATTACTCATACAACATGTCCCTCTCCACACGTCCCACACAGACTCACCTGAACACGGTCTCTTTGGTCTCTCTCTGGTCTCTCTTTGGTCTCTCTCTGGTCTCTCTCTGGTCTCTCTCTGACCTATCTCTGATCTCTCTCTGGTCTCTCTCTGGTCTCTCTCTGGTCTCTCTCTGGTCTCTCTCTGGTCTCTCTTTGGGCTCTCTCTGGTCTCTCTCTGGTCTCTCTCTGGTCTCTCTCTGGTCTCTCTCTGGTCTCTCTTTGGGCTCTCTCTGGTCTCTCTCTGGTCTCTCTCCTGTCTCTGCTTAGGTTTTGTTTCTGCTGTCGCACCTGCTCTAAAGTATTTCCTGGTTCATGTCAGAAAGAGGCCGCTCCCTGTATTGTTCCATGTTTATTATGGTTTGGATTTTAAACTACATCTTGATGTCTACAGAGAAAGGACATGAAACACACATGAAAGGATTTGACATACTGTATATACTATAAATATGTATGTATTGTATGTATATGTGCAGAGATTGTTCCCACCTATAATGAATATAAATAATTAGGAATATAATCATTATAGCCCAAAACATTTCTCTGTTATTAGAGAAATGCATCTGGGACATGGGAGAGACTGTTTTTCAGTATTTTCATCTTCACTTTTCTGGTGGATCTAAACTCCTCGTTCGTGGCAACATAAACAACTCAAAACGCCGCTTTTTCAGTGTTTTTGTGCGTCAGTCCCGGCTCCTTCACCGCAGGCCTGTCTTCTGATCTGCAATCTCGGAGGATGTCTGTGCGTTCCGAGTCCAATGGGAGATGTTCAAGTGAAGCCTGTCCCTGTAGACTGCAACGAGCTGGCCCCAGGGCCGGAGTGGAAGGCTGGGGAGTCCTGGGACCACTCAGACACCCCCCCCCCCCCCCCCCCCCCCCCCTCCAAAGCTCCTGTGCTGTATTTTACTTAACTTTGAGAGGAGGAAACGGAAAGTGCTGAAGCGCATCATTTATTTGTGATTTATCAGCAGTTTACGAACAGGAGATTTTACTTTAAGTTATTCATTTGTCTGGGGTCATTTTGTTGCAGATGAGAGAGAAATGTGGTGGTTGTATTCTGGACCCTACTCTACTCTACACTCTACTCCACTCTAATCTACTCTCTACTCTACTCCACTCTAATCTACTCCCTACTCTAATCTACACTCTACTCTACTCTACACTCTACTCTGCTCTACTCTAATCTACTCTAATCTACTCTCTACTCTGCTCTACTCTAATCTACACTCTACTCTACACTCTACTCTGCTCTACTCTAATCTACATTCTACTCGGCTCTGCTCTACTCTACCCTTCCTTACACTACCCTGCCCTTCTCTACACTACCCTACTCTACTCTCCACTCTACTCGGCTCTACTCTACTAGGCTCTACTCTGCTCAACTCTGCTCTACTCTACTCGGCTCTACTCTACTCTACTCTACTCTACTCGGCTCTACACTAGTCTACTCTACTCGGCTCTACTCTACTGTAGTCTACACTCTGCTCGGCTCTAGTCTACTCTACTCTACTCGGCTGTTCTAGCTTGTGCGCATGCTCGTTGTGCTGTTATTTCCGGAGCTGGATACGTCTCTTGTCTTGGCCCAAAAACAAATAGAAATGTTGCAGGTATTTTTTGTTCCTCATTTGATTGCATGCCCCGATGCTCAAGTAGTCTCGTCGGGTTCCTCTCTCCCGCTCCTTCAAACGCTTGGCCTCTCTCCGTTCTTGTAGGGACTTTCTTTTGGCTGTTTCGCTGTATAAGCAGTAACCGGTAACGAAGATACGAGTAGTTTCAGGTTCGCCTCCGCCATAATGCTTGTTTACCTCAGCTGTCTGTGCTAACAAGAGACCTGTAGATTTTCTCAAGAAAGTGGGGGCCAATGGTCCGCTGTGATTGGTCCAAATCTGGTCCCAAAATAATTTATCTTCCGCTTTGCGTGAGAATTTTATATAAAATAAAATTACACTCCAGTACGATCCAGCGCAACTTAGGCCCCGACTCCACCGGGCGCGTAAAACGGACTAAGTATTTGTCCAAACGTGTCCGTAATCTCAATGAGGGTGAATGGAAGGATCCACTGCCCGTCCGTCGACGCGTGTCGGATCCGTTTTCCATTGAAAATACAATGGAATAATATGTTTACCACATTATTAAACATGTATTGATATATGCTGTGGTCCTTGGTCATAAGTATTTGTTAATGACAATGATTATTAACAAATGTGTTCCCTTCCCTTTTTCCAATTGCTTTCAATAAGTTTTGCCTCATCCATCACAACGTCCTCGATGCTTCAATATGCCGTGCTTTGCATAGATCATAGCCACAGCCTCAGCGCTTCTTATATTTAAAACAAAGCCTCACGGGTGCTGTCAAACGCACAGCCAGAGTTGCGCGCTGCTGCAGCGGTTTGGCCACTATTCCGTTTTAAGGACGTCTGTCGGGCAGCAACCAACGCGCCTCAACGGAGACGCGCCCGGTGGAGTCCAGGCTTTATTTTTCAAAAGGACGTATATCCCAATTCACTGCATGGATATGGATTGAATTTTCCTAATGAATACAAAAATAAAGTGAGGTAATCCAGCTTTAAAGGGATAGTCTGTAACTCTAAATGAATTACAAATTTTAGGAAATGTGTTAAATTGACCTCCTGGCCTTAAATGTTGATATAAAATAAGTAATTTTATTAATTCTAATATTATGGGCAAGTCCCGCCTTCCCTTGTCTTAGCTATAGTTCAGAATCCACGATGCCGTCCACGTTAACCAATCGAGTCATGCCAAGGGCTGTCAATCATCAGCGCTGATGCTCGTAGCTGCGCGCATGCTCAGTTGTTTGTTTTCGTGGAGCCTCCGAATCAAGCCTCCATTAGGCTCTGGAACTACATGAAAACTGAACAAAGAATTCTGAACATCTGCGCTGAGGTACTTATGTATATACTGAACCTATATCCATAATCATTTATATACTGAACCTATATCCATAATCAGATCCTCTGCAGATGTGTCCTATAGTGTGCAATTCATGATAATAGCACTTCCTGGTTTGCCGCGATTTTTTTTTTGCATAAAAACATTATTTTTTTCATTAAAACGTTCACAAATAATTTTTAAAACCTCCGTGCATGTGTATTAATAATATATATGTATAATGTGTTCTCTGATAAACATTTCAAAGTGTTACGGAAACGTAGGTGTAGACCAATCAGAACGGAAGGGGGAGGGAGCTTGTGTCGGTTTTTTCAAATCAAGTACCTCTCTGTCTCTCTTTCTGACAAACTCCAGACAATCACTTTAAGAGTGGAGAGACAAAGTGTGACATCACCAGTTTTCGCGTGTTTTTTGAACATACTCCCTATTCTCATGCTTTGTTAATGCACTCAGTAATACCATAAAGCTGTAGTACCAAATTTTCTTCAGCTCTCAGCCCAAACCATCAAATAGTGACTCACAGGGATCTCCCGTACACGTGTGCAAAAGACTGCATGTTGTGGTCTGTTTTTTTCAGACAAACAACATGTGATGTAATCAAAAAGTTTGGTACCCCAGCTTTAAATTAAAAAGGGTGAGAAATAGCAAAGCAAGGCAAGTTTACTTGTATAGCACAGTTTATACATAATCATAACAGTATATTTAAGAGAATGATAAAGTGAAGTTACCACCTTTTTTCCTGACAAATACTTTTTTTAAGTTCTTTGAGTTGCCTTGTGTATGAACTGTGCCATACAAATAAACTTGCTTTGTCTTGTAATCCTCGCAGGTCACAGCGCGGTGGACATCACCAAAGTGGCCCGGAGACACCGCATGTCGCCGTTCCCCTTGACCTCGATGGACAAAGCCTTCATCACTGTGTTGGAGATGACCGCTGTCCTGGGCACCGAGATCATCAACTACAGAGGTACACACACACACGCACACACACACACACACACATGCACAGACACACACTTTCACATAGACTGACACACATACACACGCACAGACACACACTCTCAAATAGACACACACTCTCATACATTCACACACACACGCACAGACACACACTCTCACATAGACATGCACACACATACACACGCACAGACACACACTCTTACATAGACGTGCACACACATACACACATACACAAGCACACAGAGACACATTCACACACACACACGCGCACAGACACACTCTTACAAACACACACACAGACGCACACACTCACACAGTTATGCAGACACACAATCTGAGACACACGCAGACACAGGCACATACACACAGACGCTCACACAGACACACACTCGCAGACACTCACACACACACACTGAGAGACACACGCACGCTCACACACACACAGACACTCACTCGCAGACAGTCATACACACACTGAGAGGCACACACAGACACACACACACACTCACAGACACACCCACACACAGAACAATACAGACACATACCCATTACATAACGATAATCTAATCTAATCCAAAACTGCCCAATCATGTTTATCCAGTTTTTCCAGTAAGATGTTTTCTGTCTTTTCCAAAACTATAAGTAGTATTGTCAATAACTTTGTTTCAGATACAGATTTAAGTTTCCTTTTATTTGCCATTTCTAAAACCTTCAAACAAGGTCAGAAATCTAGGGGTAATACTGGACTCAGACTTAAATTTTAATAGCCACATCAAATCAGTAACATCAGCAGCTTTTTACCATCTAAAAAACATTGCCAGGATCAAAAACATAGTGTCTAAAGCAGACTTGGAGATTCTTATCCATGCATTTGTCTCCAGTAGGTTAGACTACTGCAATGGCCTGCTCACAGGTCTGTCCAAACAGGCTGTAAAACAGCTGCAGTACATTCAAAATGCAGCAGCTCGAGTCCTGACTAGAACCAGGAAGTACGACCATATTAGTCCGGTCCTCAGGTCTCTGCACTGGCTTCCTGTGGCTCAGAGAATAGACTTTAAAACAGCTTTGCTTGTGTACAAGTCTCTCCATGGCCTCGCACCAAACTATATTAGTGACATGTTAGTCCCATATGAACCAGCCCGGACTCTGAGGAGCACAGGGACTGGACTCCTGTTAGTGCCCAGAGTCAGAACTAAACATGGGGAGGCTGCTTTTCAGATTCATGCTGCTAAAATCTGGAACAGTCTTCCTGAAGATGTGAGACAGGCCTCCTCTCTGACTATGTTTAAAACCAAGTTAAAAACGGTGCTGTTTAGCTGTGCATACAACTGAGGGATTTTATATTTTTATCTTTCTTTTTAATGTTCTGTGATTATTTATGATTTTAATGCTTTCTTGTTTTGTTCAGCACTTTGAGTTGCCTTGTGTATGAATTGTGCTATACAAATAAACTTGCCTTGCCTTGCCTTGCCATTTGCAGTAAAACCACATTGGAATACATGTGCAATAGTACAATTAGCACCAGTTTGGAGAATATATGGACTCGACTCTTTTGTAGCATAATTATAAAGTATCTAAAAATCTAATTTCGGTCAACATTTAGTAAAGATACAATACTTCACTTACAGCTGAACAGAACTGTTTTTAACCTTAATTTGAACATAGAATCCTAGAAGAACTTTCAGGAAAACTGTTCCAGATTTTAGCTGTATGAACCTGAATCGCTGCGTCCCCATGTTTAGTCCTGACTCGGGGCCCCAGCAGGAGGCCAGTCCCCATGTTTAGTCCTGACTCGGGGCCCCAGCAGGAGGCCAGTCCCCATGTTTAGTCCTGACTCAGGACCCCAGCAGGAGGCCAGTCCCCATGTTTAGGCCTGACTCGGGACCCCAGCAGGAGGCCAGTCCCCATGTTTAGTCCTGACTCGGGGCCCCAGCAGGAGGCCAGTCCCCATGTTTAGTCCTGACTCGGGGCCCCAGCAGGAGGCCAGTCCCCATGTTTAGTCCTGACTCAGGACCCCAGCAGGAGGCCAGTCCCCATGTTTAGGCCTGACTCGGGACCCCAGCAGGAGGCCAGTCCCCATGTTTAGTCCTGACTCAGGACCCCAGCAGGAGGCCAGTCCCCATGTTTAGTCCTGACTCGGGGCCCCAGCAGGAGGCCAGTCCCCATGTTTAGTCTTGACTCGGGACCCCAGCAGGAGGCCAGTCCCCATGTTTAGTCCTGACTCGGGACCCCAGCAGGAGGCCAGTCCCCATGTGCTTCGAATTACAGTCAGAACATCCTGGCCTTTCTGGGTTTAGTTTGCATATTCTCCTTATGTCTGCGTAGATTTCCTCCAGGTGCTCCACTAATAACATGAACTATAGGTAAAATCCTCCAGCTCTGGTTTTGACCAAGAGCACCCACATCTGGAGATGGGTCCCTGTTACTACGGCGACCACTGCTCCTGACAGAGGCCCCAGTGACAATAAAGGATGGGTCAAACATTCCCTATGGAGAAAATGAAGTAAAGTTAACTTTAAAGTGATTGTCTGCAGTTTGTCAGAACAAGAGAGAGGTACTTGATTTGAAAAAAACGACGCAAGCTCCCTCCCCCTTCCGTTCTGATTGGTCTACGCCAACGTTTCCGTAACACTTTTAAATGTTAATCAGAGAACACATTATACATATACATCGTTAATACACATGCACAGAGGTTTTCAAAATGATTTGTTAACGTTTTCATGAAAAAAAAAATGTTTTAATGCACACAAAAAAGCGATCGCGGCAAACCCGGAAATAGCTGTTTTCATTAATTGAAAATTTTTAGGACACATCTGCAGAGGATCTGATTATGGATATAGGTTCAGTATATAAATTATTATGGATATAGGTTCAGTATATAAATGATTATGGATATAGGTTCAGTATATACATAAGTACCTCAGCGCGGATGTTCAGAATTCTTTGTTCAGTTTTCCTGTAGTTCCAGAGACTAATAGAGGCTTGATTCGGAGGCTCCGTGAAAACAAACAACTGCGCATGTGCAGCTGCGAGCATCAGCGCAGATGATTGACAGCCCTTGGCATGACTCGATTGGTTAACTTCAACGGCACCGTGGATTCTGAACTATAGCTAAGAGCAGGGAAGGCGGGACTTACCCGTAATATTAGAATTAATAAAATTACTTATTTTATATCAACATTTAAGGCCAGGAGGTCAATTTAACACAATTTTTAAAATGTGTAATTCATTTAGAGTTCCAGACTATCACTTTAACTAAAGATTTGACAGAGGCTAAAAGTACATGAACGTGGATTTAGTGATGGAAGAAAACAGATTGAAAGCGAGGAACTAGACATGGGTTTGTATCACCTTTTTGGGTTTTTTGTGGTTTCAAAGAGAGGTACTCTAGCTTTATTCCAAACAATACACAACCCATCTGACGAGCTCGCCTTCTGTTACATCGCATCTTTGTAGCGAATAACATGCATACATTATTAATTTACTTTTCCCATATGATGTGTTGGACTATTTTTAGATGTAAGGAATATATTACATGAGCTGCGCGTGGGAGAGCGAGGCGCGAGTAGGAGGTCGAGAAAAATCCTGCTTCAAAAATACCTTAAAGCTGCTCCACGCGCGGCTATATATAGTCCCATGTCCGCTTTCATGTGCGCGCCATTAAATGTGATTATAACTGATGCAGGATGACAGCGGCGCACGTGGACACGCCGTTTGTGCCGCTGTTCTGAGACAAAAGAAAAGTCTTAAAGAGTAAAAATAGATCAGAGGGTTTTGTCTGATGCTGATTTAGAGAAACAACACATTCTGTGCTTGTATCTAATGAGCGACTGTCGGACCGCACAGTTTTGTAGTTTGTCGCCACTGAAGATAATACGCAAAGATATTTCATTTCCACTAATTAGGGCGGTTATTAGTTTGTTGAATCTTACACAGACGTACACATACTGAGGTGAGGTCTTATTGTGTTTTTATTTTGCTGTTAAAACACATGCAAGACGTTCAACTCATAATGTCGCAGTCGGTCAATTGTAAAAAAAAATAATAATAGTAATAATGATAATTAAATGATACAATTATTGACAAGGGGTACACTCCGAAAATGAGGCTCAAAAGGAGTAGGAGAAAGTTTAAAACGTATGGAATTCTAACCATATTGATCTAAAATGTACTGTTTATTTAAATGTTTTTTCCGGAAAATTCAACATACAGTGATGTAAATTAACTTAGTCAAACAGTGTAAGTCAGCTACTCAACAACTACATCTGCACATATGTAAGCAACACAACCACATCTGCACGTATGTAAGCAATACAACCTCACATATGTATGCAACACAACCACCTCTGCACATATGTAAGCAACACAACCACATCTGCACATATGTAAGCAACACAACCACATCTGCACATATGTAAGCAACACAACCACATCTGCACATATGTAGGCAACACAACCACATCTGGATATATGTAAGCAACACAACTGCATCTGCACATATGTAAGCAACACAACCACCTCTGCACATATGTAAGCAATACAACCACATCTACACATATGTAAGCAACACAACCACATCTGCACATGTGTAAGCAACACAACCACCTCTGCACATATGTAAGCAACACAACCACATCTGCACGTATGTACACAACACAATCACATCTGCACGTATGTAAGAAACACAACCTCACATATGTAAGCAACACAACCACATATGCACGTATGTAAGCAACACAACCTCACAAATGTAAGCAACACAACCACATCTGCACATATGTAAGCAACACAACCACATCTGCACATATGTAAGCAACACAACCACATCTGCACATCTGTACGCAACACAACCACATCTGCACGTACAATGTAAGCAACACAACCTCACATATGTAAGCAACACAACCAAATCTGCACATTTGTAAGCAACACAAACACATCTACACATATGTAAGCAACACAACCACATCTGCACATGTGTAAGCAACACAACCACATCTGCACATGTGTAAGCAACACAACCACATCTGCACATATGTAAGCAACACAACCACCTCTGCACATATGTAAGCAACCACATCTACACATATGTAAGCAACACAACCACATCTGCACATATGTAAGCAACACAACCACATCTGCACATATGTAAACAACACAACCACATCTGCACATATAAGCAACACAACCACATCTACACACATAAACAACACAACCACATCTACACACATAAGCAACACAACCACATCTGCACATATGTAAACAACACAACCACATCTGCACATATGTAAGCAACACAACCACATCTACACATATGTAAGCAACACAACCACAACTGCACGTATGTAAGCAACACAACCTCACATATGTAAGCAACACAACCACATCTGCACATATGTAAGCAACACAACCACATCTGCACATATGTAAGCAACACAACCACATCTGCACATGTGTACGCAACACAACCACATCTGACTCAATTTTTGCTCAACAATGTCTTCCTTATATTTCTTTTTCAAATGTATTACATTTTGTGGTCATTTTAGTTCAACACTGAGACTATTCCATAATGCCACAAACTCTTTCTTACTGAGCGACACCTCCTCAGCTTTCATGACTCAGATTCAGTCTTTCCTAACTATTGTGCGTCCTCACTATTGTGCGTCTTCACTATTGTGCGTCTTCACTATTGTGCGTCCTCACTGTTGTGCACCCTCACTATTGTGCGCATAAAAATCCTGCACAACAATTGTTGGAGTGTACATGATACTCGATCAAGACTTATAACTACGACAATAGCCTGGCAGTCTTTCTCTCTCTGGTCTGGTCTGTCACTATGGTCTCTGTCTTGTCTTTCTCTGGTCTCCCTCTAGTCTCTGGTGTCTCAATCTAGTCTCTCTCTGGTCTCTCTGGTCTCTTTCTAGTCTCTCACTGGTCTCTGTCTTCTCTCTCTCTCTGGTCTCTCTCTGGTCCCTCTCTGGTCTTTCTCTAGTCTCTGTCTGGTCTTTCTCGTCTCTGTCTGGTCTCTGTCTGGTCTCTCTCTGGTCTCTTTCTGGTCTCTCTCTGGTCTCTTTCTGGTCTCTTTCTGGTCTCTCTCTAGTATCTCTCTCTGATCTCTCTCTGGTCTCCTTCTTTTCTCTCACTGGTTTTTTTCTAGTCTCTCATTCTCTCACTGGTCTCTTTCTAGTCTCTCATTCTCTCACTGGTCTATCTTCTCTCACTTGTCTATCTCTGGTATCTCTCTCTGGTCTCTTTCTGGTCTTTCACCGCCTGAATAGTCCAACAAGATCATAAACAACACTCTATAACCGCTTGTAGAACATGACAGTTACCTTTATTTAAAATCGGATTTAAAAAACGTTTGCGTCTCTCTCTCTCTCTCTGGTCTTCAGAGAGACGCACATCACCAGTCGTGAGTTCAGGTGGTTAGAAAAGTGTAGTAAGTGTGTGTGAAGGGATTTACAGCCTTATAACATACAGCAGCTACTTTCACACACTTTATTAGTTTCACATTGTACGTTGAATTACAGAAGTAAATGGACTTTTGAACAATATTTTCCGAGTTTCACCCGTTCCTAATATAAGTCCATGTACAATCCTCACAACAACTCGATACATGCTAGAGGCCAGAACATCCCATCCTTCATTCTTCTCGAGCCACTGACCGCTTATAGTGTCGTTTGTGTCGCAGATGACCCCTGTCACGAGATGCAATTAGGTGACTAAACCCTTTCCCTTAAATACTGGAATATACACTGCCCCCTGTCTTTAGGTGTAACCTCTGACCTTGTGCCCCTCCTCAGATGGGATGGGTCGGGTGCTCGCTCAGGACGTTTATGCCAAAGACAACCTGCCCCCTTTCCCCGCCTCGGTCAAGGACGGCTATGCTGTGAGAGGTGAGAGGTGCATGCTTTTTTTTCATTGTGCCATACTCGCTTACATGCTACTTATTGTTATGTATTCAAACATGAAAAGAGTACCGTGTCTGAGAATCCCTTGGAGCACAAACAAATGGCTGTGCACTACGTGAAGCTAAGGCCCTATAGTTTTGGCCTCTGATTACTCCTTCACTCTAATTATGAATGGGGACAATCTGCACACAGAGCAAGATTGAAGTCTGCCTACATCTTCCATGGTATATACATGGATATAAATATGATCTGGAGGGTGTCGCTGCTTAAGCCGGTGGACACCAGCGGTACTGCAACCTCAGACACAATTGTGTTTTTTGTGCAGAACTTTTGAAACTGTTTTTATGAAAGGTGCTATTCATGGGTGGCACGGTGGCTAGCACTCTCGCCTCTCAGCAAGAAGGCTCTGGGTTCAAATCCCGGTTGGAACAAGGTCCTTCTGAGTGGAGTTTGCATGTTCTCCCTGCGCCCGAGTAGGTTTCCTCCGGAGATGGGTTCCCGGGCGCTGTTACTACGGCAACCACTGCTCCTGACATAAGCCTTCGCGGCATCAGGATGGGTCAAATGCAGAGGATTGAATTGCCCTACAGATATTAATAAAGTGCACCGATATAACAAAAGTGGATTGTATTGGATTCGATTGGAGAATTCCAAATAGACCTCAGTGTTCACTGTAAGGCCTCGTCCTCAGCTGACTGGGAACTAGCAGAATTTAGGGTTCGTGAGGATTTCAGTGTCTCTTGTCATCGTGAACAAATAAAAATCCATTTGTTTTTTGTAAATCCACACTTTTTTGCCAAAGATTCAGCTTGCGTTTGTCCTGCTCTGATTAGTGGAACTCAGAAGGCTCACATGTTTCTCTGGTCCTGCAGAGGTAGCTCTAATACATCCTAGCGACATGACCCTTGTCCTTTTTTCAGGAATGGATTGACCACGTGTGACATCACCATAGTGTGTGTCAAAAGTAGAAGCCGATTTGAACAAAAGCCAGCTGGAGCCTATTTCCTTTTATGGGCATTTCTTCTGCTGCATTAGCTTTGCCTATTAACAGGGGCGGTTATGTTGTTAACCTGGTTTCTAAGGCAAGTTATTGTTTCTCCTGCAAATTAAGGCATTTGATTGGTCAATCCTTATACGGCTTACACTGTATCTGGATTTACAAAAAAAATCACAATATAAACACCACATATTTTAAAGCCCATAATGGTGAGTGACACAAAGGGTTACTGAGCAAGAGGATTTTTCAGATGTAATTTCTTGTAAGTCAATAGGAGCAAGAGCCAGATGGAGCAAAACTTATCCGGTTGGCCTTGTCCACCTGTCTATGGACTTGACCTAAGTTTCTGTACCTACATCACCACATTTCGCAAATCACTAATTGGCTTATTATTTTCCAGCGGCTGACGGACCTGGCGACCGCTTTATCATTGGCGAATCACAAGCTGGAGAGCAGGTATGTCAACTGAAACAATACTAGTCGTTTGTGGGGCAATATGGTTGTTTAAGAGTCTTTTTGTGCAGCCCACGCACACAGTGATGCCGGGCCAGGTGATGAGAGTGACCACAGGGGCCCCCATCCCTTGCGGAGCCGACGCCGTGGTACAAGTGGAGGACACAGAGCTGCTGAGAGAGTCCGAAGACGTAAGAATCAACTTTGCAGTATGTATGAGTCTAACATGTTTGAGTAAAATGGTAGAATGTGAGTACAGAGGTAGAGGTGTAGCAGAGAGACCAGAGAGAGAGACCAGAGAGAGAGACCAGAGAGAGAGACCAGAGAGAGAGACCAGAAAGAGAACCCAGAGAGAGAACCCAGAGAGAGAGACCAGAGAGAGGGACCAGAGAGAGAGACCAGAGAGAGAGACCAGAGAGAGGGACCAGAGAGAGAGACCAGAGAGAGAGACCAGAGAGAGGGACCAGAGAGAGGGACCAGAGAGAGGGACCAGAGAGAGAGACCAGAGAGAGAGACCAGAGAGAGAGACCAGAGAGAGAGACCAGAGAGAGAGTCCAGAGAGAGTCCAGAGAGAGACCAGAGAGAGAACCCAGAGGGAGACCAGAGAGAGAGAGAGACCAGAGAGAGTCCAGAGAGAGAGACCAGAGAGAGTCCAGAGAGAGTCCAGAGAGAGTCCAGAGAGAGTCCAGAGAGAGTCCAGAGAGAGAGACCAGAGAGAGAGACCAGAGAGAGAGTCTGTTTTTGCTCGAGAGATGTCAAATTCTGCACTTTGAGCCTTAATTTCACCCCCTGAACATGCATGAATCTGAATTTAGTAACAGTCAAAATCTGAATTTTGACTGTTACTATAGCTACCAGGAAAGGTTTTTCAGCTGCCCTCCACCACAATGCTAAACTATAGGTTCTTTGAAACTTTGTGCTGTAACATAAGCATAACGGGGGATTTCGTTTTTTTCTAGGGCACAGAAGAGTTGGAGGTACGAATCCTAGTCCAGGCTCGTCCCGGACAAGATATCAGGTCAGTGGCATCTTAGTGGCCTTCAATACGTCAACAAAACCTGATTGGGCCATGTCCAATTTAAAGCTGGGGTATCCAACTTTCCCTGGGAACCACTTCCACTTCACCACAACATTTCCTAAACACTGAGATACTTGAACTCTTCCACTTGAGGAAGGCACCTCAAGTGGAAGAGAGTAAGGCACCTTTTTTGCGGTCGAGCACCATGTGATTGGGAGGTGTTGATTCTTATCTCTGCTGCTTCACACTCACCTGCAAACCTTCCCAGTGCATGTTGAAGGTCCTGGCGTCGTCTGAAGTGTCTATACAGAATGTTGAGAATATTGTATGTTTGTCTGTACTTTTCATAGTTTTTAAGGATTTTTATGGACATTTATGTGTCTGAATCAGATATGAGTTGAATTGAACATGACAGTGCTGCAAAGCTACGGACACTTATCTGATCCAAGTCTTGTGTTATGCCCTGTTCCCAGGCCCATAGGTCACGACATAAAGCGGGGGGAATGCGTGCTGGCCAAGGGCACCCACATGGGCCCCTCGGAGATCGGGCTCCTGGCCACGGTGGGCGTCACGGAGGTGGAGGTGCAGAAGTTCCCTGTGGTGGCGGTCATGTCCACGGGCAACGAGGTGGGTCAGCAGGACTGGTACAAATATGGTATGGACACACACACAAACCGTACGCCTTCCTTTCATTTGGAAACATTATCATTTGGGTGTGTTGTCTTGAGGCTTTTTGCTACAGACATGTTCTTTGTATTTTCTATTTAGGTTTGGTGCATGGTTGTGTTGGTTATATTTCATTTCTTTGGTTTTGTATGAGTAAATAAAGTCAACATTTTTGAAACTGGTGACAGAACATTATACAAACGTTTGCTTAATTCAAGAAGTTCAGAGTCCTCCACTTGTCTCCTTATAGATAAGTATAGCACTGTTTCCACCAGCCCTCGACTCTACTCTACTACACTCTACTCTTCCTGGTTTCGTTTCCTACTCACAACATATCAGTATCTGTTAAAATGCTGTAGTAATCATGGCTTCCAGCAGCCCTCTGGCCAATAACTGTGTGCCGACTGAACATCCATCCATGTTCTTTATCTACTTTATCTGAGCCTGGGTCATGGAGGCGGCAGTCCGAGCAAAGATTCCCAGACTTCCCTCTACTCACACTACTTTAGCTCATCTGGGAGAATCCCAAGCCGTTCAAGACATAATGTGCACTGGGTCTTCCCCGGAATCTCCATGACCGGGAGAACTCCCCAGGGAGACGTCCAGAAGGTCGAAACAGATGCCCGAGCCTCAGCTGGCTCCCTTCTCCCTACAACACGTCACAATGGGCTGCACACGAGCGCCTCTTTGAGGGTGACAGTCCTACATCCTGCTGGTGCTCTTCAGCTCCCTCAGTGGACCTACCTGGACATTCTGAATGGTTGCATCTGTGGATTTCTTCTTTCCTGAAGCTTTTGCAGATTTCATAATACATATTACCTGATTCTTGAAGCTCTTCTTATTGCCCTGCATCCACCAGCCCTTCTTTGTTCTACTCTACCTGGTTTGCGTTTCCATTTTGCTTCATTATCTGGTTTCGTATCCTCGCAACCTACACGCAAATAACAAGTAACCAGTTAGAACATAAGTCAGTTAGAAAACTTTAGTACCAGCTCGGACTGGATAGAACCAGAGTCAAGAGGGACTGAAGAAGGACCTGGTACCTGTTAAACAGGACGGATAAAAACACTCCCAATCTGGGTAGTGTAGAGTAGAGTACAGGAGAGGAGGGCCAAGTCAGGCTGGTGGAAATGGGGCTTATGTTACTGACTACTACCCACATAGGGATAAGATTTAATCAGCTTGTAATCCAACTCTGGTGCCTGTTTTGGACACAATTAAAAGCTGAGAAGAACTTCACAAACAGCCTCTTTAATATACTGTATCTTCAAAATATGTTCAAATGACTTGTGTTGTGTGGTTTGCAGCTGCTAAACCCAGAGGACGACCTCCATCCTGGGAAGATCCGGGACAGCAACCGCTCCACTCTGCTGGCCACCATCCAGGAGCACGGGTACCCCACCATCAACCTGGGAATCGTAGGGGACAAGTACGACACTACACTCCCCAAAACATTCACTACTTTATTGTTCTGTGCTTGACAACTGCTTGGATGTGTGAGCGGAAATGTGTGAGACCAGAGTGAGACAAGAGAGGGACCAGAGAGTGAGAGAGCAGAGAGACAGCATGGAGAAGAGACCAGAGAAGAGAGACCATAGAGAGAGCAGGCTGAGACCTGAGAGAGAGACCAGCTGATTACTTTAGTTGTATATACAGACATTTGCTTTTATTAGGTCACAAAATTCAGTTAATGGTGCTAATGTAGCTGGTTAGATGGTAAACATTTGTCATTCAGCCAACTTCAGCTCTGTCATAGCTCATTTCAAAGCTCAGAACAGCCTGAATCAAAACAGTTTTACAATGTCCAGTAAACGCGGTTCTTAACGACTGTACCACTGTTTGTGCTTTATGCAGCCCTGACGACCTCCTGAACGCTCTGAATGAAGGCATCAGCCGAGCAGACGTCATCATCACCTCTGGAGGCGTGTCCATGGGGGAGAAGGTACACTGTGTTCTACTGACACCGTGTGGCAGGACACAGAATTGCACTATTGAAATGTACTTTCATGATGCCAGTTAAAGCTGCACTAACTGACTTTATTTTTGTATTCATTACAAAAAAGCTATCCATGTCCATGCAGTGCATTGGGATATACGTCCTTTTGAAGAAAAAGTAGTGCAGATTTGGGCTGGCGTGACATTATATTTTAGATTGAGTTTTGATGAAACAAGGAAGAGAATGTGTTTCGGGTCGCAGATTGTGACCAATCACAGCGCACCACTAGCCCCCACTTTAGTGAGAAATCTACAGGTCTCCGTTAGCATAGACAGCTGAGTTAGCACAACAAGTGGCGGAGCTAACCTGAAGCTTCGTGTGTCTTCGTCACCGGTTACTGCTTACACAGCGAGACAGCCATCCAAAAGAAAGTCCCGTTCCTCTGCGCTTCCCGGTTCTATCGTTCTATGGTCACGGCATCCACGTACAAATCCATATTCGTGTATTATCCATATTGGGAGACACTAGCTCCGTCCCAACAGTGGGTGTGTGTGGGGGGCGATAGCTTCGTGGGTGCGGGGAGGGGAGCAGAAAGAGCGAGGCCAGCGAGTCCGCGGCTTCAAAATCCCAAAGTCAGTTAGTGCAGCTTTAATAGAGCTGTGACAATGAGATGTACATATTGAGTCAGAGAAATGCAACTCTCATACTTTCAGTACAAAGGAGAGTTGGAGAGGTTTTAACTAATGTCCTTTTGGAGAATTAAGCTCAAATTCACCCCCGGCTTCAGTTTCTCCTTTTTTATTATACTATACTATTAATCCAAGATGATTAGTTTAGCACAGTTTATACACAAGGCAACTCAAAGTGCCTAACAAAAAATCATAAATAATCACAGTATATTGAAAAGATATCCTTCAGTTGTATTCACAGCGAATCAGAACTGTTTTTAACCTGGGTTTGAACATTGTAAAGCCTGTCTAACATTTTCAAGAAGACTTCCAGATTTTAGCTGCATGAATCTGGCTCGAGGTGATGAATATCCATTTTTTGTTGCTGAAAACCACTTTGCTTTCAGACCTGGCTGTAATGTGACCCCCACGATGTGCACGATCTGACACACAAATACATGCTTATAGATATTCTCATTCATTTGAAACTCTTCGATCGGTCATGGTTAAATCTGGTGTATTTCCTTTGTTGTTGTTTGTGATTACAGGATTACCTAAAACAGGTGATGGACATAGACCTCCACGCTCAGATCCATTTTGGACGTGTTTTTATGAAACCAGGGTAAGAAACAATACGTTTGCCAGTATAGATCTTTTAAGTAAACTTTTTGTGCAATTAAGACTGAGCTGATCATAACAACAGTCTGCAGTAGTTAGTCATTTTCAAGCTCCGGTTCTCCAAAATGTTTTCCCCTTCAGATCAATGGCCTGTGCTCTGTGGTTTAGTGCTCTCTGTGATCCCGGTGTTTATATCGTGATATTATCTTTATAAATCCAGACATTATACATACTGTATAAGGATTGACTAATGCCTTTATTCACAGGGAAAACTCCAGCTTTCCTTTGCAACCGTCTTAGCAACACGTCTATTCCTGTTTCGGCCCAAAGCTAACGCTGCAGGATAAATACCCATATAAGGAAATGGGTTCCTGCTAGCTCATGTTCAAATTAGCCTCTTCCGCATTAAGGCTAACACTATGGTGATGTCACACTCGTTCAGTCCACTCCTATATACGCTCTAGATAGATAAATATATGCTTTATTGTTATGGAAATTCTATTGCCTCAAATGAATGAAAACGAGAGGAAACAAAACTTGTCCTTTGGGGCAGTTTTATTCACAGAATGATGAGTACAAAAATGACATTTTCTGCGCAGAAAAGAGTCAAACAGAAGCGGGACCTGGAGCGATGCCGCGTCTGTCTGTCCCCCCAACAAACATGTCTATGATCTTATACTGGAGGTGTGTCAGACAGAACAATGAGCATTCGTCACAAGAGAGATGAGTCATACGCAGCTGCAGACGGGAAAGTTTGGGAGATACATTAAGCGCACTGAAAGGACCTTCGAATTTGATAAGAAGGAACACGCTGTGAGTACATTTGAGATAGGCCCATGCAGATGGTGACCAAGGCTATCGCTGAACAAGAGGCCCTTTGTGCTAATGTTTCAAACAGTGATGGGGAGCGGGTTTCAGACGCATGGGAAAGAAGACGCATGTATCGACCTAAATGATTAGAATATCTTGTGCCGGGAATCTGGCCATAACAATCCACCCTTTGATTATCTTAAATCAATCACACACATGCTATTAAGTACTAAAAATATATCAACTACTAAAAAATATAAGTAAAATATAAGTAAAATATAAGTAAATGAAATATATCAAGTAAAATATAAGTAAAATATAAGTAAAATATAAGTAAAATATAAGTAAAATATAATAAACCCCGGAACATCAAAACTTTCACACCTAGTAGGTTTAAGAAAATCCGTCATAAAATGGGTTAGACATACAAACCAATTTACTCAAAATCATCAAGTAACATCTCACTAAATGGATCACTGTCCTCATCAAGACAGTCAACATGCAGGTTAAGAGAAGTGTGTTGAACGAGTGTCGACGAGATCATACGTCGGATCAATGAACGGATCAAAGGAATGACACAACATGACAGCACTATTAGCAGTACTAATATTACTCCAAGTCCAGTACCTATTTGAACCAACCACGCTCGCCAGTCTGAAAACCATGAAGCATCTAGAACAAAATCACGGTTAACCGCATCGCGCAAAGTGGTTAGATTTCGAATACCCTGTGCAATGATCCCATCATCGGCACTGTTATCAGGAATATAAGTACAACAAGCGGTCTGATTAAGTAAAACACAAACACCTCCACTTGAGGCAACCAAATGATCCAAAACAATCCTGTTTTGTAAAGCACGGCACGGCAACGCATTTACTTCTACTCTGTTGGCCTCTAGAATAGTTACAGTTGAATTCACAAAACTTGAAAACGATAATTCAAGGTTTCCATTCTAAGCATAACCTTCCCTACACCGACCTGGGGGAACAAGGAGAGAAGTACTTTTGTTGGCTTGGTCCACAGTTTGTGATCATCTGGAACGTCCGTCCCCAAACTGCATCATGAGCAGCAAAATCGCGCTTACCTCGCGATCTAGGAATGGTAGAGATGATGTAAGAGTGATCTGAAGCTATCATCAGAGCACAACGACCTATCCAATTAAATGGTAGCTTCACAATATGAAATTGAAGCCAACAAGCCTCACACCATTCAGTTATTAGTCCAGTTGAGTCAGGATCCGTGAAGTACACATGTGACTACCCGGAGCCAGACGTGTTTAAACTTGATTTAAAAATGGAAAACTTTAGACACGAGCATCAGGGATTATAAACAAATCACGGTTCCGTCCCTCGAGCATCGTTATAAACAAATCACGGTTAGAATCGCTGTGGTTTAGATTGTCGTATACCCTGTGCATTGAAGCCATCGTCAGCGATCTGTTTATCATGGAATATAAGTGCGGTCTGTATTAAGTAAAACACAAACACCTCCAACTTGAGGCAACCAAATGAGCCAAAACAATCCTGGTTTGTATAGCAACCGGCACGCTATCGCAGTACCTTCTACGCTGTTGCCCTCTAGAATAGGGACTAGTTTGAATTCTCACAAAACTTGAAAACCGATATTGTCAAGGTATGCCATTCAATAGCATATCAGCCCTTCCTACCCGACCTGGGGAAACATGAGAAGAAGTACGTTATGTTGTGCTTGGTCCATCAGTTTGTATCAGCTGGAACGTCCGGTCCCCCTTACTGCATCATGACGCACATAGAATTCTGCGCTTAACCCTCATCGCATCATAGGAATGTATGAGGTATGTAAGAGTGATCTGAAGCTAGCATCAAGCACAGCGACCTATTGCCATTTAAATTAGCTTCATCATTGACATAGAAGCCACACAGCCACAAAACTAACCCTTCAAGATTAGGCCCGGTTGAATCGCAGAACCAGAGAAGTATGGAGTGCACATGTACTAACCGCCGGATGCGGCCTGTTAAGTGTTGTAAAGCTGAATTACCATGAAAAAAGTACCTGTGAGACGGGTTAGACACATTTAAACACATTATGATCATACGGGGAGCCGTCCCAATCTGTATAGGAGAATCTGTAAATGGTCACGGATAAGTGTAACATACAAATTTAGTACCAGGTCTGATATGTTCCACCCGGCCAAATAAATTGGATCTAATACATCATTAAACCAATAATTGAAAGTAATCTGAACTAACAACCGTGTGGAGTGGGGAGACATTTACCTTAACAGCTTCGTGACGTCTCAGGAAATTAATCAACAGAGACAGATGAATATCTAATCTTTGGAAAATGTGTAAATGCATCGACCATGTTAAGGTGTGATGTTGGTTTGATAGCAATAGCATTATGAGTACAAATGTAACAATTTGAGCGATTTTATGACTCTGCTAAGATTTTGGCATTATTGATACCACAAATTAGTGTGTACATACGCGGTGTTGATTCATGACTGAGTCCAAAACACGTACCACGCAAAATCCATTTCGCCACATCTTCCCTCTTCACACGTTTTGATGTAAATGAAGAGGTGTTAGAGTGTAATTGACAACGACCTGTGTTTGATTGTTCTTTTTATTCTCCCGACCTTCAAACCATACAGTGAAACACTCAATGAGGAAGGAATTGAACATAGCACACACAAAGTCTTCTCATCCCGCAAATGCCCTGCTGCCTAATGGATGGCCCCCCAGGGGCCGTGCTCCCGCCGTTGTGCATCCTGGACTTGATTGTCACTTGTTGATCTTCTTGTGTTACCTATCTTCGCTCATCTATGACCTAGAGTGGAGTTACCAGCACTTTTCTCCTGATGCACTAACATTGTATGTTCTAACAATGTTTTACGTTGGGAGGGTAGTGTTGTGTGACCCTCCTTTCGCGTTGGGAGGGGTAAGATCCTCCTTATGCTTCCGTTGTACCTCCGCAAGAAGAGCTGGGACGTTGTTTGCAGTGCGATGCGTGGATCCCAGTGCTGGCCTCTCCTGACTTTCACACAGCGGGTGAGTGGTACGAGGAACTTGGAATGGGCCAAGCCAGCGATGGTGATTCCAGCTCCTTTGGCTTGAAGTTCCTTATCAGGAGAAGTCGCCGGGTTGGATGTTTGTGAAGTGATGGTCCCGCCCGCTTGGGGAAGGGCCGATGACTCATCCTGTCGTCTGATCAGAAGAGACGTTTGTAGGTTATTACAATACCTTATCATGCCATCCTCGCACAGGATGGCATCTGTTGAGGTCCCGCAGCTGTCCCATTCCTGACGTGGGGGAGCGGCAAACTAATCTCAAAGGGGAACAGGTTGTTAGCTGCTCAACTCTCATTCGCATGTACAGCAGGACAATTGTGCAAGCAATTGTTTTTGGCCACGTAGGTTTGTTTCCTGGACAAGCATTTGGCCATTTTTGATTTTATTGTGTAATTGTCTCGCTCCGCCGAGCCACAGCCATAATGTGGGGTGATAGCTGCTGTGATTTTCAAAGCAAATTTCAAATATCAGCACATTGTGTTGTATCATCTTCTTAACAAATGGCGACCCATTTTCGCTACAACTTCTGAGATTCCCCTTTTTACAAGAATTTCAGTCAAAATGGCGTTTGCTACTGTAGCGAGTCGCATTTATGTGGCTAGGGTAAAGCTGCAACCTTGGAAAACTTAGCCCACCATGTACTAGACTAAATGGTTTCCCTGCACTGGTGTTAATTCAATGAGTCCAGCTGGACTGATGTTCAATCTGGTCTTGTTGGAGCTGGGGAGCTGCTTGTGCCAGAGACCTCGGCCTACCCGGGTTATTCTGTGCACAGATCTACAGCTTCTACAAAACTCTGCAGCCAATGGAGAAAATCCTTTTGTAAACCAAAATTTGTTGACTGCTTGAAACTTCCAGTGGATATTTCCCCGTTGACACATGGTCCTAACCCAGTGTTTAACTTAGCATAGCAATTAAATAATCTTTTGGGATGGCATGGCTTCAAATCTGGCCCATACCCAGACGCCATTTTGAAAACAGCTCCAGACTCTCCGCCCACGTGCGCCGCTCTTCAGGGAAGAGAGTGAGCAGAGGTCCTTCAGAGGCGGAGGGGAAAGAGGAGGCCTCTGGGAGACAGCATGGGCAGGGAGAAGGAAGCTGATGAGGAGGAGCTGTTTAGCAGCAGCTCTCGCAGCTCTGTCCGC